TTCCCGACCCGTCCATGGTCTACCCGTTGGCCGGGCGGCTGTCCTGTTCTGTCTGAAGTAGTCGTCTGATACCGACTGAGTCCGGTCCGAATGATACCAAACACTGGCGCGAGGGCTACACTAGTGATCATATATTGACGAACGGAATAATATATGAAATAATGCTTTAATTTTATTTTTGTTTGTTGGGGAGATGTATGTATCCCTGACGCACATCTTTTACTCACGACATTATATCTATCCGTTCAGATTTCCTGATAGTCAGCAGCCTTTGAAATATCGGGAAGGCGGTAGCATTTGTGTCGCCGTGACAGAACTACCGATGTCATCTTTTTTTTTCTAGTTAAATAACGATTGTCTGTCAGTTCTGCGACGAAAGTAATGGAAAACGTCACTTTTGCTTTTACAAAGAAAGGATAGTTAATTATTTTTGCAGGACTCAATAACATCCGTGTTTCGTTTGTTTACAAAGCTGTATTTGATATCCCGTGCAATCAGGGTGGCTTGTTTGCTTGATATTTTAGATGTTTACACCACATTAAAGGGACTATCCCACCTTCTAAAATGTTGTTAAAACCAGTTAACCCTCGCATGTGTGCGGCGTTTGCCAGCTTCTAATGTGTAGGGGGGGGGGGGGGTCGGTTGGACCCCCCCCCTTGCCGTTTGGCCCCTGATCGAGCTAGAGCTTCGCGGAAAAAACGAGCGTGTTGCCCGTGACGAGAGGAAGCCGATGATACCCAATTTTAAGGTCCTAGGTCATTGGGTGACCTTCCAGGTCAGGTCAATGACCCAAAGTCGGGAAAATCGGGACCTGTTAGAAAGTCGTAAAGTGTGGCTTCTAAGGGGTTTTTCGGGGTGCTGATCACGAATATCGTGTTAGTTTTGACCACAGATGATGTCTTTAAGCATTTAGACTAGGTCGGGTCAGGTCAGGTCAGGTCAACCAGTAGGCATCGTGACGGGTATTCGTAGTACGTGTCAACCGCCTCTGACAGCTTCGTAACATGTTACGAAGGCACCAAAACTACTTCGTAAATGTTCAAATGGTTGCTAAATTCGAATTCAGCTCCAAAAACTAGCCTAGAAACATGTACAGCTCGAAAAAGTGAACCGAGGTCACCCGAGGTCACCAAAGGTCAATGACCTGACCTGACCTTCAGGTGACCTTGACACCCACCCTAATGCATGGAAGCAACATCAAATCACATGTTTGAACGTTTGAAACCACGAAAAGCTTGCAAACGCGCGGCTAATGCGAGCCGACATACGCAGAATCGCGATTCTGGCCAAACATGGTCTCGGAAAAGAGGTCACAGGTCAAAGGTCATTTTGGTCAGGGTCATGAAATTTTAGGGTAGGTGTAAAATTGATCAATGTGAGGGTACTGAAAGTTTCGTCGCGATCGGCCGCTTTTTACGCGAGTTATTCGCGAAAAACCATGGGGGGGTCCATCCGACCCCCCCCCCCCCTACACATGCGAGGGTTAAATTGTGCCCGACTTTATAGATTGGATGACCAGGAACACGGTTCTGGCATTTATTTTTCATTAAACATCTTAGGCTTCCCATATTCCAAACACAAACTTTCAAATATGTGACGTCACAGCCCAAAATTACCTCCTTCCCCAGGCCACATTTCTGTCATAAACTGATTCTTTTTACTCTGTAGGCACCACAACAAAGTTCAGACCAAGTTTTAAGCGATTTTTCAACGAACAAACCCATTTAAATCAGAATGACTAAACGAGGTGACGTCACACTAACGGTCGCTCCATGTTGAAGATAGGGCCTTGTACAAGGCCCATTTTCAAATGAAGGGAACGAATTTCTTCAACACCAAGAGGCCGCGGGGGTTGCAACCTAGATAGATAGTGGTTTCTGAACCTCGCCGCAAACTTGGCTATTTCAACTCAAACCCCATGTTAAAGGTGGGATAGTCCCTTTAAATTTGCAAATTGAGTCTGCAGATGTTTGTTTTTCAATTTTATGTGACGTCGCCCTGTGTCCATCGTGCGGTTGTTAGATGCACGATGTAGCCCTCGCTTGTCTGGAGGCGAGCTATATTTGTGTCCGTTGATTGTCTGTCCCATTCTCCTGGCGTTAAGCTCGTACACCGACATTTCTTCATTTGTCCTTTGCCGTCCGCTCGCACTAGTTAACTCTGCTGTTAGGTATGCCGTTCTAACCTCCGCCGTTCGGCTATACTACCTCAGCCGTCTGGTCGTACTACCTTGGCCGTTTTGCTACCACTGCCACTCGTTCGTGCTAACTACTTATGCTTTGGTGCTTGTTCTGTTCTCTGCCGTTTGGTTGTACTACTTCCGCCGTTCGGTCGTATTACATGTGCCGTTGGGTTTGCCCTCTCGGTCGTACTTAGTAGTCTGCCGTTCTGTCATGCTACCTCGGTCCTTTGTTTTGTCCTCTGCGGCTCGGCCGCCAGTGATGCATATCTCTGGTGTTCAGTCAAACAGCCGTCACCTCCGACAGTTTGGCTGTCGGCCTCCGAGCCGTCACCTCCGACAGTTCGGCTGTCGGCCTCCGAGCCGCCACTGATCTCCCGGGGTCGTCCCGATCGTGCGGTGACGACCAACTAATGACCGCTGTCCGCCGCCCGCCCCGGCCCACCGACTGCCCCAGCCGGGCTGCGGGCCGGGCTCACCCGATCCGCGACCAACCCACCGCCGGGCCGGGGCGCCGGCCGTCCACGGCTACACGCTGCCGGCTCCATCGCCATTCACAGACGGGAACTGGGCGAGTTGCGGTCCGGAAGGGGATGACTTCCGGTCCGGAAGGGGATGAGTTCCGGTCCGGAAAGGGATGAGTTCCGCTCCCGACGCTCAGAAGAGGCGCCTGTGGTTCCCCGGAAGTGTGTTCTCGGGGAGGCAAAATGGCGGCTGTTCTCCAGGATAGAGAATAGGATGGCTAAGAGCCAGTGCTCTGCTGTGAGGAGATGGCTTTGGGTTGTATTACCTCAGTGTCAACAGAGGAAGTGGTCCCGTCTCCGGGCCATCCTCATATATGGCTGCGCGGTCCGCGCCCTTCCCTGCGGCCGCTGAACAAATGCCAGTGTGCCCACTCATTTCCATTCAAAACAAAGAGGTGAATCGTTAACTAAAGGGGTACGACATCTCGTAAATGGGTATTTCAATGATATGGTAATATCGTACATCTTTATGACAAATGAGGGTTTATAGAATTTGCTATACTCACGTGAATATTGGGGCTAGGCCTATAAGGTGTACTAGTTAGCAGATTCTATAATAAGCCAATTGGATATATTTTCTTTTATAGTCGTTTAGATGTTTCGTATTTTGTACGTGTTTATAATTTATTTGAAGTACATCACAGCTGGTAGCCATCAAACACCCATGCAACAAAATAGGTACGTCGTCAGAGGTCTGTTCTATCCAAACCTTAACACTTTACAGCCAAACCCATCGATGACAACATCGAACGAGCAAATGTAAATAGACACATACCTACTTACATACCTACGCTTCCATTGACTTTGAACATAGTGTTCCGAAAATAACACGTGTCTTTGGGTCATCCTCGCATCTCCATTGCTCACATTGCCGGTTTAGTGAGCCATTCTTTGTCTCATTCGCGTCCATGTCAACAGTCCGTCGTGCCCAACCCCTCTCCAAAGAGTGTCATTCCTATTGCGTTTTGACCATCATCGACAGCATTAAGCTCGGTACACAAGTAGACAGTGTAGTCTGCACACAGCGCACAGTGGACACACCGAAGGGGTTGATGTTCTCGGAGAGCGGCCACACTCGTCATTTCCACCGTACACATATCCAGCACTAGCCCTGGCGCTCAAACGCCCAGCAAAAGGGGCGAACAGCGGGACAATGGCGCCTGCCAAAAAGTTTTTTTTCAACATTACTATGCCTCGTGAAAATGAACAACTTGTTTGACCCCTCTCCTGAATACATTAAAACACATCATAGACCAGCGCTGGCGTACACTCAGACACAACGTTGGTGGCTCTAATGACGCCTTCTTTTTTAGAGACATCAAAGCCAAGCCGATAGATACAAGTTAATTTGACTATCCGCGACCGAAATAGTAACTTATTGGCGATAAAAAAAGGTGGATATAGCTCGTTCTGAAGAGATAACACGTCAAGAATGGCGTACTCTGAACACAACACATGGTCTCACATCACGCTCCTGTTGACATTAGCGTAATGTACACGCATCGGAAACACAGCACAGTCATTGCAATACATGCACATGGAGGACGCATGCCGTCCGCAATAGTAACCAGTAGACAACAGGGCTACTACAGTCCATTTCGGAGCCACACGTTACGGCTCCGCGGTACGTTGATGACACGTCTCCGCTCCGCTCTGTCTGGTGGAGACGGGGCGCGAGTGTCGCCCAGCGGGGCGCGACATCAGATCATTTGTGGTGGAGAACACAGTCCAGTGGGCCGCAGTGTCCGACGGACTGACCGATCGGGCTCACGGCGGGCCATCGACAGAGACCCAATTACTTAGTGAACAAGTCCACTCGGCGCCGGTTTTGGCTACCGTCCATCGGGAGGCTGCGATTTGGCTCGGTGAGGAAATCAGATGTGCTTAGCTGAGCGGCAGGGTCATAGACCAGTCGTCTTTGCCTCACAGTTCAGTCACAGGTCGTCGTTGCCTGTGTGTCAGCCTCAGCTCCAGTCTCAAAGACCATTCTCACTTTGCAGGCATTTGGCCGTCTCACACCGGCCTCTTGGCCAACCGCAGCGGCTGGTCGGTCAGAGTTCTGCTCAACTTCTGAGTAGTTGAAAAGGTCACCTGTCCAGTCACCAGACATCCAGCCTCAGCCTATCTAGACTAAGCCGTCCGTGCAGTCGGTGAAGCTGTCGAGGACTGCTCAGGGACATCCAGCAGCAGAGATCCGCCGACCCACGGCAGGGGTCCGACCACCTGCGGTTTTTCACCGAGGTGCTACCGTTCCCTTGGAAAAAAAAATCCTGATCGGTCCCGCAGCAGGGCTGACCTCAGCATTGGACCGGCTGCGGCGCGCCGGCGGAGCGCAGCACCCGCAGCGGGATCTCGGTGTGGCCGTTCTGCCGCAGGCTGGTGGCCGCCGTGGTGGTGGTGCGCAGTCCGCGCTGGGTGCCCGCCAGCAGGGTGGTGCGCGTGTTGCGGCCCGGCTGCAGACTGCCCGGCGTGCCCGGCCGACAGAGCAGCAGCTGCCGCAGCCGCCGCAGCGCCAGCTTTATCTCCGGCATGCGCGCCGCGTAGATAACCGGGTCGACCAGACACTTGAGCACGACCAGCGTGTTGGTGGTGATGGCCATCTCGAGGTGGGTGCGCCAGTGCAGCTGCCGCGGGTGCATCGAACAGTCGTAGCAGATGAGGATGAACGTGACGACCGCCGGCATCCAGCAGAGGATGTACGTGCCTAGGATGAGCAGCGTCGTCACCACAGCTTTGACGCTGCTCTTGAGCTGCGACGAGTTCTGGTTGCGCAGCGAGCCGCGCTGATGCTGGCGTACCATGATGAAGATGTGTGTGTAGGCGAAGAACATGCAGATGAGCGGCACGAAGAAGAGCGATGCCACCACACGACGGAACGTGCTGAACGGCAGAAAGTCGAGCGAGCAGCCGTCGGCGCGGAACCCGCCCGCCGCCGCAAAGTACACCAGGAAGAAGAGGATGGGCACCAGCCACAGGAAGCCGATGGAGGTGAGCACGCGGCCGCGCGTGATAAGGCGCGCGTAGTGCAGCGGGCGCAGGATGCCCACGTAGTGGTTCAGCGCCAGCGCCAGCAGGTGGGCGGCCGTGGAGATGACGCCTCCCAGCCGGAGCGCCTCCAGCACCAGCGTCGGACAGCGGCTCAGCGTCTCCACGCCGAACCCGACCGGCAGCAGGCTGTTGACCACCAGACCGAGGCCCAGGATGGAGGCGGCGTACGCGTCGGCGCCTGCCAGGCTCACTGAGAAACACATGGTGGGGCTGAGCGGGCGCCGGATCAGGCGCGCCGACACGCAGATGCTGAGGTTGATGACGGTGCCGATGACGCAGAAGACCAGCATGATGGGCACGGTGATGAGGTAGATGTTGCGCCGGTGCTCGAGCTCGCCCTGGCGCAGCTGGTTGCGGATGTGCAGCGCCAGCAGGTGACGCAGCACGGTCTCGTTCACCGTGCCGTTCGACGTCTCCAGCAGCTCGTGCAGTGGCCCGAACTCACTGAAACGGGGAGCGCAGCGCGTGCGTCATTTACGGAATTATGCAAGTAACAGTCACAAAAGTAATAGAAATGCTGGATGGAAGCTGGTGGCTGAGCTTATAGTTAAATAGAACACTAGTGAAGTTCAGCGGATGTATGTAAACGAGAGCAATGTTACCGACGACATCTCTTTCATTTTCAAACTTCTGAATATCTCACGCATCTAGTTACTTGGCACAGTTCTAAGCTGTTACAAATTAGGTCGGATTTTTTGGAGTTATATTGAAATGAAATATAAGTGAGTGATTTGTGCCAGGTTGTAATAACTAGCATTCAGGTCTAGGGGCAGCTTTCTACAAACTAGCACTCAAATTATATTGTCACCCTATAATACTAGTAGATAACTTGGCCTTGAGACTTATTTAAACTTTATCTCATTATATGCTTATTCGGATGATTATGCGATATTTTGAAGGGTATACGGTGCTTTATATACCCATATACCCGTTGTTTTATTGAATAAAGGCTTACCTACCTCAAAGGCCGGAAAGGGCTCACTATCGGAGGGACACGACTTAGTAGTGGAAGGACACGTTCGGTAGCGGAGGGACACAGCTCACTAACGGAGGGACACGGCTCACTAACGGAGGGACACGGCTCACTAACGGAGGGACACGACTCAGTAGTGGAGGGACACGGCTCAGTAGCGGAGGGACAAGGCTCGCTATCGGAGGGACGCGACTCAGTAGTGGAGGGACACGGCTCAGTGTCGGAGGAACACGGCTCAGTGTCGGAGGGACACGGCTCACTAACGGAGGGACACGACTCAGTAGTGGAGGGACACGGCTCAGTAGCGGTTACCGAGGCGCTGTGGTGGGTGCAGTATCAGTTGGACAGAGCCCCGTGGCAGTGCGGTGCGCCGCTGCCAACGCCGGGAGCAGCCGCGGCCACACACGGCGCCACGGGTTTTCGATAGGGGGGGACGGGGACTGTAGCTGTCCGAAAATCCCAAAAGTAGATACTGATCGTGTATGCAAAAAAAAAAAAAACGAGGCACGTAACGCCACGAAACTTGGCAAAGCCCAAAACACATCGAATGGTGCATCCCGTTTCCAAACTTATCCTAGGACACCTAAGATCGATCACCTTTTCAAGCATCCTTGCCTCTAAATCAAAATTTGCAGTCTTGCCAACTCAAAGCTGGTTTCCTACAAGCTGCGAATTGCTTAGGGATACTGGCCGCGTGGCCGAGTGAACTGGGTGTCCGGCTGGAAATCCGGAGGCGGGAAGTTCGCGACCGGTCGGTCAGTGTCGAGTAGCAGTGCCAACTATTCTTACGTTTCGTACTTTCAAATTTTCGATCTTACGTCTGGTCAGCTTCATGGCTTCACCCCCATATAGTCATGGAGGAAAAGTGGGAATGTCTTCTGCTCTGACAAGTGCGCCAAAACTGCAATATACTTTCAGAATCATGACATCACCACCTGATCCATATGCAACGGGCAGGGTGCAGCTAATGGCTAGCCGTCAGTGGTCATGTCATTGGTGGTCACTCAAAAGGTCATGCTAGGTCATGGAAGGTCACCAGCCGTTATTTGATCACACTTTCTTATGGATTTTACTTACCAAGAGCTTCGCGGGAAAAACGAGCGCATGCCGCATGCACCGTTGAAAAAAAAAATGAGTGAAAGGGTCTCAGGTCCGGCGGCCTCTGCAGGTGAAATGCCCCAGGGTAGGATTCCGGTCCTTGTTGATTAACTTCGTCAAAAATGGCAGTAGAGCTGTGATGTCGGCACCATTGTGTTCGTCATGATCGAGCTGGCACGACCTGCATCGTTCTCATATTCACCCTCCAATCGTAACAACACAGCATGGGGATTGGCAAATGGCGGGGCACCCCCTTTGGGAGGTAATGAAGGTCTCTGGAAACCTCATCCCTCATCTCTTTAGACTTTAGCATTAGTGGCTCTCCTTATGGAACAGGTTTCTTGACTGGTCTGTTTCACCCCAGAATTCAAAGACTAGTCAAGGTAAAACCGAGCGTACCACAGTGAGCACAATTTGATAAGCTGGTGTATCTCAGTTTCCATGTAGAACCTTTCACGTATCACGTACCTAAAACACTTTCGTGCACTCATGCAAAAGCAACTGCCATGTTTCAACAGCTGGTAATGGCATTTTCACAGCCGCTGACGTAAGAAGGGGAGGGGGCTCGATTAGACCCCCAGCCGTTCGGCCGCCGACCGAACTTAGTTTTGCAGAAAAAAAAAACGAGTGCTATCGAACCCCTTGACGAGAGGGAGCCGATGCTACCCAATTATAAGGTCTTGGGCTACTGCGTGCTTTTTTGGTCCTGCCTATGATCTATCCGAACACTTCTCCCCACAAGTGCTGGGGTTAAATGGCATAGATTTGAAATGGTTCCTGTGGTAGAACTGCCATGCTTGAATTTGACTAATTAGGAATGGAAAATATCCATATAGTAACGGAAATCTATGGAATTTCAGTTAACTTGGTTTTGTCGGCAATGGGGTCTGGCAGTGGGGTGGGGAGGTAATAACCCTGCCTGGCGCCCCAAAAAAGGGGGGCACGATCCCCGAGGCCCTGCCGATCACCTTATAGGCATCACAGCTCCACACCTTTTGCAGATGGCCAGGACCCCCTGCGATACATCCCAACAGCAATCTTTATTCAGAACCTGCCTTGATTAACCAACGATGCATTAAATGCGACGGATAACTTTACAATGCATTATTATCAACTATTGAACGGGCCTCGCCGATAGGGGGGTACTGTACCCCCCTAACTTTCGATAGCGGGGGACCTGTCCCCCCCGTCCCCCCCGGTGGCGCCGCCCATGGCCGCGGCTGCCTTGTTTACAATCGGTTGTAAATCAGCGTGGGACAGCGGGCTGGTGGGCGGTGGCGGCGGGTCCATTCAGCGGGCGCTCCTGAGGCCGCGACCCGGCGGGGCGCGAGCTGCGCTCCTGTCTGGTGTATATTACACGTCCGCGGTCCACACCATCGGTGATTAACTGACTCCATTGACACGCCGCGACCTCGGATTGGTTTATAGTGCCCCTTCCCCGAGCCAGTCGCAGAGTCCGACACAGAGAGAACTGCGACAGTTCGCCCGAGGCTGACGTTCTTCGCTGGCTTTTCTCTCCCTTCATCATCCTGTGACGTTAACTGTCCCTGATGATCCAGCAGAATTATTTCCTGTACCAATTAAAAGCAGTTTGAGCCATCAGCTGTTGATGTCCAATTTATCACGGCTTTATTGCTGCTCTCTATGAAGATTGATGGCGGCCGAAATGTCAGTGCATGTCAGAGGGCTGAGCTGCATCACCACAGATATGACGCCTTCCCGGAACGGCCAATTGTTGGCGCTGCTTCTGTTGCCACCGGGCGCTCCCACGACGGCTATTGATGGTCGCATCGGTAAAGCCACGAGTATGATGGGCTTATTCTGGTGGCTGCATGCTTTATTCACATTTGCACATATTGAGAATGCTGCCGCAATGCTGAGCGTCTCATGAATCACGGTCGTCAAGTTAGATGTAAGTGAATCCTAATCTATAATCTAAGATTCGGAATCAGGTGAGCCCCTACGATTTGGACCAAACTTGGTCAGTGGATAGTACGTAACGTCCTGATTACGATGCACCCAAAATCTAAGCTCGGCCCGCCATATTTACGAAGTTACGGATGTTTGAATTTCAAGGTCATTCGGGAGAGCCCCTGCGATTTCCGTCAAAATTTGTGTACGGACACTCTAGATGCTCCTCATTACGAATATCACAAAATTTAAGCTCGGCCCGCCATATTTACGGAGTTACGGAGGTTTGAATTTCAAGGTCATTTGGGTGAGCCCCTGCGATTTCCGTCAAAATTGGTATACGGACATATTACATCCTCCTCATTACAAATATCATAAAAGTTAAGCTCGGCCCGCCATATTTTTCAAGTTACGGAGTCACAAATTTACGGAATTTCAAGGTCATTCGGAGAGCCCCTCCGATTTTCGTCAAAATTTGTATGCGGACACATTACACGCTCCTCATTACGAATATCGTAAAAGCTAAGCTCGGCCCGCACTATTTCAAAAGTTACTGACGTTTGAAACTCACTGAAATTCAAACATCTCTAACTTTTGAAATAGTGCGGGCCGAGCTTAGCTTTTACGATATTCGTAATGAGGAGCGTGTAATGTGTCCGCATACAAATTTTGACGAAAATCGGAGGGGCTCTCCGAATGACCTTGAAATTCCGTAACTTTGTGACTCCGTAACTTGAAAAATATGGCGGGCCGAGCTTAACTTTTATGATATTTGTAATGAGGAGGATGTAATATGTCCGTATACCAATTTTGACGGAAATCGCAGGGGCTCACCCAAATGACCTTGAAATTCAAACCTCCGTAACTCCGTAAATATGGCGGGCCGAGCTTAAATTTTGTGATATTCGTAATGAGGAGCATCTAGAGTGTCCGTACACAATTTTTGACGGAAATCGCAGGGGCTCTCCCGAATGACCTTGAAATTCAAACATCCGTAACTTCGTAAATATGGCGGGCCGAGCTTAGATTTTGGGTGCATCGTAATCAGGACGTTACGTACTATCCACTGACCAAGTGTGGTCCAAATCGTAGGGGCTCACCGGATTCCGAATCTTAGATTATAGATTAGGATTCACTTACATCTAACTTGACGACCGTCATGAATCGGCCGCAGGCACCACTTACAGTCAGCGCCAGTCCCGCTAACGATGCCGTTTCTGTACTGCACAATCACCGCAGGAGCTGTCGGCTGTGAATGGCCCGGCTTGCATTCTATTTGCTGTGAATGCCCCAACAGGCTGAAGGGCTCGGTGCGGAGCGGCAGGCGGTTGTTGCCGCGCCGGGGCGCTGATTAGGAAGTGAGCGGCGGTCGCGGCACGCTGATGGCGGCTCCGAGTCGTCGCCAGCGGGCACGTGCCGCCTCTGGGCCCAGTAATGGAACGGTGGCCGCCGCGGCCGGGTG